CACGGGAATAGCAGAACAAAGCGTTACTCGTGAACCTCCAGCACCACCTCCACCAATAACCAAACCTCTGGCTTTGTGGACATGTTCAGGTATTGTCACGACGTGTAAACCAGGACTATCAAACGAACGAGAAACTTCCGGTCGCACTTGTCCTATCTGAGTAAGGAAAGAAGCAGGAGCGTCATCTTGCAAAAAGGGTTCCAACGAGCTTTCTTCCAAATATCCTTGAAACTGAATACGATGACCTCCTTGAACAGACTCATAGACTCTTCCTTCTGTCAACGAAACATTTTCTAGAGGACACAAACTGGGAACAAAACTTGTATCCAGCAAAGTATCATTTACTTTCAAACTAGTTTCTTCAAAGCCAGATTCTCTACAATCTGGAATATCTGCTGTTATATTCACTGGAGGAACTAAGGTTGTGGAAAAGACCTTGTATAAAGTACGGTTATCTACCTTCACCTTACTTCCAAATATCACATGGATATCGGGTCCTCTGGGAACTTGTACTGTATAAATACTGGGATGGGAATAACCTATTTGGTGACATTCTCCAAGCATCAGAATACATGAAAGAACCAGAAAAATTCTCCAATACATGAAGAGAACTTCCAGGGACTCGAACCAAAATCATAGACTACTTTTCAATTGTCATTTGTTTGCTTCTTTCAACGAGACAATTATAAAGTATTTACAGCCATCCATCAGACGATCAGCTTCCTCTTTGGATTTTATGACTCTTAGTAAGCAGCCTGAATGTGAAAAGAGTTCAACTATGAATTGGTACTAGTTTCTATATTTGAGGACTATATTTTATTGTAGAATTGAGAGATTACTTTTGATTGGTCAATGAAATGGATAGGAAGAACAGACAACAAATCATATAAAAACTGAGACACGAGTGCAAAGTCATGTTAAGGTTGATACACGTTGTTATCTTTTACACATAAGAATTTTGAGAAATTGTAGGAATCGCTCTAAGAACTAAACTCTTGCAGCGTTCTATCAAACCTTTTTTGAATCACAGAGCTTATCTGAAGACAAACCTACCTTACTAGATAAATTTTGTAACGTCCGTAATGATGAAGAAAGGGTGAAGTTTAAGTTGTCAGACAATTACTCAGTCATTAGAAGGAATCCTCCTCCAAACTATTGTATCAGTAAAAAGGAAAGTACAAGTAGATGCCAGGCCGACTCTACTTTGAGAAAGTAAAGTTTGGTTTTTACTTTATTTGGCACTAGTTGTAGCAAGGAATCTGAAAAGACTTGACTTTTACTAGTCTTTAATGTTTCCCTTGTCATCTAAAAGTCTTTTGATATTCTCTCTGCTAGTAATGTGAACCAAAAGGATTATCAAGCGAAAGAGTAACTCTTAGTATGCCTCTAAAGGAAACGCCGATGCTTTTAGCGTCGTGAATGGTTTTAGCAAAAATCTGGCTTCATTCTCTTCAACTCTCTCAAATTTTCATAGAGTTTGGTCACTGAGTCGTTCATAAAAGTGATATTGTGCATTTTTATTTTTGTATAAAAGGTACCCTCCATGTTTGAGGTATTTCTTTGCCACGTAGCTCAATGAATTTTCCTTTGAGTTCCGCAATATGTCTATGGCAATCATTTGAAGTTTCAACATGAACCTCTGTTGAGTTAGTAGGTTTGTAAAAGTAGTGGTCCAAGTATTATCGGTGTTTCTAGAAAACTTTGCACCTTTCAAAGCTTAACTTATCTTCACAGTTATCTTTTGGCTCGTGCTGTTTTATATTCGAGTTTGTTGAATATAATGAAAAGCTCGAGTTGTCAAGTTTATTGAATGTTGCTTTCTTCTTGGTTAGTTACTATATTGCAGAATTCTGACTTGAGAGCAACCTTTGTTGAGTCCATTTTGTGAATCCAAAACTGTTGGTCGTTTTCTTTGACTCTTGAGACTCCATATACCTTTTCTATTCATGGAGTAAAAGACTTGTGTCCAAGACTCCTTTTTGATGGTTGCATTGTGTTTCAAGCTAGTTTGCTATTCTAGAGCTTATTTGTGACTTTTATTTATATCTCTCCAAGATCAACATACCATTGGATTCGTGTGTTGGCAGTTGATATTTTGTATCCTAAACTCATCTTTTGATTCAGAATATTGCTACTTGATATTTATATTTATTTATATATATATATAGAGAGAGAGAGAGAGGAGTTGAAATACTATTTTCATCAACAGTGAGTTGTTCTTTATCTGCAGGAAGCATGACCATAACAACGAGGATTTCACTCCTTTGGAACAACAAAAAGAAAAGCTAGAGTTGATCTATAAAAACTATAGCTTTTTCACAGATAAAAGTATTCAACACATCATCAAAGGACAAGGAAGTGACGACTGATTTATAATAGAGTGGATAAATTGAAAACAAAATAATAGTTTTGCAAGCAACTTGAAATCAACAAAAAAAGATAAACAACAAATTGGAATGAAAAGTTGTGAATAAACCAATTCATAGATTTTCAGTGCTAATAGCCGAAATGACACTGAAAAAGGGCTAGATTGACCAACTTATGATTGAAGATGTGATGTTAGTACCCAAAGAACGGAAAGCATTTCGAGAAAGAGAGCAGAATATAGTAAGAAGGATGACTAAATATAGACGACTCGATACAAAGAATTGAATTTAGTAAACTCAATTATCAATCATTCCATTACATAAAGAATGTTTACGACGAAAGAAATGGAACAAATTCAATAAACCAATAATGAAACCACTATGAATTTCAAGAAATATTAGACAAGAACTATTTCTTTGGATTTCAAGAAAGAGTCCCTAAAAACTTTGAATGCGGAATGTTGTCTCGATCCATAGAGACATTCAATAGCTGAATGAACTATTACCATTTTAAAATATATTGTTTGAAACATATCCGAGGAACAAATTGCCTTTTTGCTTGAGAATTGTTTTCACTTTTACATTGTCAGCAGTTGCTATTTGGCATTGATGGAGTTGCTGTTTTTTGTCTTTTATGTATCAACCCTTGTTATTGTTGTTTATTGATTTTGATAATAGAATATCCAAAAAGACTATTCCTATGTTATCAGCCATGGAATGCTTTTCAATATTCCATAGTGATGTCGAATATTTCAGTCTTTCTTTCCACACAATATAATTGTATGTTTATTTGATTCGACGATGTTCTTACTCTTTTGTTGTTTCGTAAAGGTCTTCATTTCAAATATCTGCAACTGATTTATCTCTTTTTCACAAACTAGTTGCATCATAAAAGTTTCTCAAAAAAGATACTTTTCTCATATTCCTTGGGTCTCCTACGCAACAATTTCTTGGTGATACAAATGAACTTTCTTACCGATAATTGACAAGGATATTATTCTACTCTTCCATCCAGTGAAATAATCAATCAGCAACTTGCCTATTTTCTAGAGTTTTACTGTATTCCCTTGGACAATTCACTACATTTGAATAATCTAGGAGAGTTGCTATCTTTCTTCTTCTTGGATATTGTTTCTTGGCAAGTCGAGTCTCAAAAGACATCTTTCTGCTGATGTTGTAGGACTTACGGAGGAATGGAATTGTGAGTCTTACAACAAGTTGGAACGATAACAGAAATAGAATTGTCATATACAACTGAAGGATGACCATTTCCAGATTTCATCGAATTGTATGAAACACAAGTAAATGTGCACATAACTTTACATTCATCGATTATGGATAAGACGAAATATTGGATAGAAAAATCATCAATCTTTTTTAGCCACTTTGAAAGAGACTCATTGAATTTGCACCAAAGAATATATCAAAAGACTCAGGGAATCAGTCATTGCAAAATGAAATAGTATCACTATATGATGTATAATAAGTGACAACATACGATTAGTTATCAAGGTGACTCTAGATAAGCGTTTTCTTAAAAGGTGTTAGGTTACGAATGTCAATCAGCAAAACATGAGTTCTTGGAATAGCTCAGCTCGGCCCTTTTCTTTTTTCTATCCATAGCCTATATATATATATATATATATGTATGATGAAGAAAAAGTCATGAAGATACTAGACAAAGAATATGCACAATCTATCAATTACCCAAAGCCATTTTATCGCCAACAAGAAATAATAATAGTAACAACAACAACAGCGTCGTTCTTAGTTGCCAAAGCAACTATTCCAGTGCACGGTTTCACTGGCCAGAATCTCAACTTCTACACTCATCCTCTTTACGTTCCACTTGCAGCCGAGAGGCATAGAGTGGTCGACTAGCAAGAAGGGTTTATCCTGTTTCTATTCTACTTGTTGTATTGCTTCTTCTTTTTCAGGACCACCATCTCGAAACAACAAGTACTCACCACTTAGTTTTTCTGGAACTACCTCTTTTGGAAAAAGTTATACGTGCCAACAACAAAAGTATTTCAACTTGCCTCGTAAAAAGTGTAGTGCTGGAACGGAATGAACAGTTTCTGACAGGGCCTTGTAACTCAACTTATCCTTGTTATCTTTGATACTTTCTTTTACCAAATAATCCACAAATAGTTCCTAGAGTCCAAGTTACGAGGAAGAGGTAGTTTCAAGTAACAATACTACTGTTGCTTTGGTAACCACGGCTACTGTTTCTTCCCGCACAAGTAACGAGTCTTCATCCAGTTTCATTATCTTTTTTACTCGTGATTGTGGAAGTGTCCATATTGTCTTTACAGTTGACTGTTCCATAGGGTCGTCAACGACCATCCTCCCCCATTTAAGAAAGAAAAAAAGATGGCGCCAAAAGTGTCACAGCCTTTTGCTGACACGTGGATAAGAGAAATTCAAGACTTGCCTTTCTATGGACCATTCAGAGTTTATCGATACGGTATCATTACTTTATGGAGAGTATTGTTGCGAATACTATCTTAAGGTTGGGCTACTTATGAGCCTTCTAGAAGAATGTCCTATTGACATTATGTCTTCCCAAAAGAGATTGCTTTAGAAATGACTCGAGTATCGTTCATCGTTTGCTTGGATAAGAATCTTTTCCTAAACCGTAATAAATTTTCATCTGTTTGTTCTCGACAACCTTGTTGTGCGTTTCACCACAAATATAGGTATCCAATTATGGCTTCACAAGACGATAGAGAACAACAGTTGCAACAAATAAGTCGCATAATCCATGGCTATACAGGTGCAAGGACACTTATGACTGCAATACAGTTGAGTGTTTTTACTCATATAGCTCAAGGAAACCACTCAGTGGAACAAATAGCAAGAGCTGCAGACGCCAACTCTCGGGGTATCAGCAAGTTGTTGGACGCTTTGGTTGGCATGGAATTTTTGAAAAAGGACAAACCCAACCATTATGAACTGCTACCTTGTAGTGCCAGGTTTTTGGTGAAATCAAGTCCAGAGTATGTAGGTGCTATGCATGAGAACGATGATCACTGGATTGCCTGGTCCAACTTGAACAATGTAATCAAGACAGGTCAACCTTGTATGACAGTTGATCAGGAAAAGAAGGCAGAAGAGTTTTTCCCGCATTTGGTAAAATCTCTACATCAAATGAGCTTGGGTAAGGCCAATCGTTTGGCTGAAAAGTTGCTGGAAGGAAGACAGGATGTTGCTTTGGAAGTAATCGACATTGCTTGTGGCTCTGGTGTATGGAGTATTCCTTTGGCTGAAAAGTCCAACAAAGTTAGGGTTACTGCACAAGATTTTCCAAAGATATTAGAACTGACCAAGTCTTATGTACGACATCATGAAGTGGATAAACAATTCAACTATTTAGCAGGTGACTTGAAGACGGTAGACTTGGGTGAACAAAAGTATGACATTGCTATTCTTGGGAATATTGTGCATTCGGAAGGAGAAAAATCTTCCAAGACATTGTTTCATAAGCTGGCTCAAGCCTTGAAACCTCAAGGGAAAGTTGTGGTTATTGATATGTTTCCAAATAATGAGCGTACTGGACCTGCTTATCCTTTGTTATTTGCTCTCAACATGTTGGTAAATACGACAGAAGGAGATACTTTTACTTTTGAAGAATATCGTCAGTGGTTTATAGAAGCAAATATTCCTCATGTTTCGATGTTGGAAGTTGCTCCAGAATTTTCAGTCATAGTAGCACAACTAGCTTGATTTGTCTATTTTCATATATATATAAAATAATAGTTTGTGTGGTTTCATTCCCTATTTTTGCATCATGAAAAAATGCATTCTCATTTTGGCGCAATTGGAGAATTATTGCATTCATTAGGAATAGTCATTTCCGAGTTGGACCATGTCTATTTGGAAAGCCAGTTCAACTTGGGTTTTTACTGTCAACACAAAACTTGTTATCAGTCATTGTCCATCTTTAAGGGGATTTGCTACGGAGGCACCTAAAAAGGAAACTTGGAGAGCTTCCAACGCTGAAAAGAGTTTTGGAGGTTTACAAGACAAAGACCGTATATTTACCAACTTGTATGGAGAATTGGATTGGACAATAAAGGGTGCAGAAAAGAGAGGAGACTGGTATGCAACCAAGGATTTGGTTCTCAAGGGAAGGGATTGGCTGATTAACGAAATAAAGGCTTCAGGACTACGTGGGAGAGGTGGTGCAGGGTTTCCATCGGGTTTGAAGTACTCGTTTATGCCCAAAGTTTCAGATGGAAGGCCCAACTATTTGGTGGTAAACGCCGACGAATCTGAACCAGGAACTTGTAAAGATAGAGAAATTATGAGAAACGATCCTCACAAGTTGGTGGAAGGTTGTTTATTGGTTGGTAGAGCCATGGGTGCTAGAGCAGCCTATATTTATATCCGAGGTGAATACGTGCACGAAAGAAAGAGACTGGAACATGCAGTCAGTGAAGCATATCAAAAAGGATATTTGGGTAAAAATGCTTGTCTTACCGGATATGACTTTGATGTCTATGTCCATTATGGTGCTGGTGCTTATATTTGTGGTGAAGAAACCGCACTTTTGGAATCTTTGGAAGGAAAGCAAGGAAAGCCAAGATTGAAACCTCCTTTTCCAGCCAATATTGGCTTGTATGGATGTCCTTCTACAGTTACCAATGTCGAAACTGTTTCCGTAGTTCCAACTATATTAAGAAGAGGTCCTTCTTGGTTCGCTTCTTTTGGCAGAAAGGGAAATGCTGGAACCAAATTGTTTTGTATAAGTGGTCACGTAAATAGTCCAACAACTGTGGAAGAAGAAATGAGTATTTCACTCAAAGAACTTATTGAAAGACATGCGGGAGGAGTTCGTGGTGGTTGGGATAACTTGTTGGCAGTTATTCCAGGAGGGTCTTCGGTACCATTGATCCCTAAAAGTATTTGTGACGATGTAATGATGGATTTTGATGCCTTGAAGGAAGTACAATCTGGCTTAGGAACTGCTGCAGTTATAGTAATGGATAAAAGCACAGATATTGTGCATGCCATTGCTAGGCTATCCAAATTCTATAAGCATGAGTCATGTGGTCAGTGTACACCTTGTCGTGAAGGGACAGGCTGGTTGTGGAATATTATGGAAAGAATGAGACGAGGTGAAGCAGCTAAGGAAGAAATTGATATGTTGAATGAGGTAACACGACAAATTGAAGGTCATACTATTTGTGCCTTGGGTGATGCTGCAGCTTGGCCAGTTCAAGGACTCATTCGTCACTTTCGAGGAGAGTTGGAACGTCGTATTGACGTGTATCAACAAAAACTAGCAAAACAGCAGCAAAAAACAAAACAGAATGAAACTGTCTCTTCGGCCGCTTATTAAAAGACTGTAAAGTTTGTGTTTGTTATTTTTGCCTTTTTCAACTGTTGCAATAAGGGTTCATACTCTGTGGGTCTTCCTAGCTATGTAAGATTTATTTGAGTAACAGTTGTCTTTTGTAGTCAACCTTGTGCGTTCTTATCAACGACACCTTTGTTCTGTGATTCTTCTTCATCTTCTTCAGGAGGTAATGGTTCCTATCATCCAGTTTCCGTTGTAATAGAACGAAATAAAATATATCAACCTACCATTTCCTCCAAATTTCCTGGTGCTGTTTGTTTCATCTTGCAAAAAAAACTGGGTTTAGTTGAAAGGCTATGCTCAACACGTACCCGTACTTACCCTAATCATAGTGGCTGCATAAACAACAGTAACAAATACAGTACAACCAGCAAATACAATACGGTTTCTACGACGTATTTTTCTTAAGTGAGCTTCCATTCCTTTCTCTAAAACAATATCGACAACACAAAATCCAATGTCGATCAATCAGCTCTTAGAAAGACCAACTTACACACACACACACACACGTACAAAGAAATGGAATTATTGCAATCTCAAGTGCTTCTCACTATCAAAGAAAAAAGGTTCATGATCAGAAAGAGAAATAATTAGTGATGTCCAATTTCGAGGCAAGTCTTGGAAGATATGGCGTAGTCATTCAACTGACGATCGAAAGTAGTTTTACTTGCCTCTCTTACTGTTTTCTCCATGATTGACGTGAATGGGGAATAGTCAGTGTTCGTTTTTATTTCATCATTATGTTTTTTGTACACTCTTGGAAAAGAAACATTCGAATTTTCATGGCAAAAAAAGTAGTCTTGACTAAAAGCAGTATGAAACAGGATCTTGGAATAAACTTGTCTACAAATATTCTTCCAGCGTCAAAAACCACTCTTCGCTGCTGTATCTAGCTCCAAACAAACCTAACAAGTCTTGAGAATACTACTGCTCACAAGTTAGAGGAAAGACCACAAGGTTGCAAAGAAAAAGAAACTGCGAACAACCAAGTACATACACTAAACCTTATAGTGTCGTTTGCAACGTCAACTTCAAAAAAACCAAAACAGCAGAAGAACAAGAAAGATAATCCGAAAAAATTGTTAGAGAACTCAAAATAAACAACAAACAGATTAAATTTGATAAAAATCCGGATAAATGACTAAGAAGAATAGCATCACACACAAAAAATACAAATAAGCAAAAAGAGAGATTTTTAAAAAATAATAGAACTGGAAGAAAAGGAAGGTTATTTGTTTCATGATGGCACGTTTTCTTTTTTTTAAAAAATAATTGTAGGTAGCAAAGACAAGTAGTAGTGCAATAATAATAAAAAAATTAGTTTTTGCAATTTTGAAAATAAAAGCTTGTGAAGCTATTCGTCGTTGTAGCTTATTACAATATGTTGCTTGTTATTTACTAAATCAGTCGTAATTTTAATCACTTTTTCTTTCTTGTGCTTTTTATCATTTAGATCTATTTTTTGTGAATTTCAGAATAAACAAACTTGAAATTAAAATTTTGGTGTTTTTTAATTTCTTTTTGAATTTATCGTTGATCATTTTCTTTAATTTTTTTGGGTCAACATGCTAAGTCTGTTTTAATTTAACGTAACTTTCTTTTCCAATTAACACGCATCAATGAAAGTTAACTTCTATTAGTAACTTTGTCTAGACACTTGTTTTCAACAGGCACCTGATAGCAACAATAAAATTTTAAGCAGCTGTCTTATTTTTGAAAGAATGTGAGCTTTACCCGTTTTTCTTACCTGCTAGTTTGTTGACTTATGTGTATCAAAGAAGATCAAATGTTTCGTAAGTATTGCAAAGGAGGATTCTTTTTAATACTTAAAAAGTAAATGATTGTTTAGTTTCTACTTGCTTTCAGAACCTCTTTCATAAATGGCTTGCTAGAAGTAATAACAAGTTCTGTTGACAATTTTTTATACGAACCAGTTTTGGGTTTTGTTTGTGTTTGACATTATTGAGGATATTAGGTGTGATCATTGTATGAATTTCTTTAGCAACAACTTTTTGCACTGACAGGTCGAAGAACGCAGACTTTATTTCACAGTGATCCAGTTTTGTGCCTTGATACACTTGAATTTTTAGGAGAGGATTCCACGTTGGAAAAATAGAGTTTTTATAGAGGAGTTGTTTGGGGGGATGACCGATACGAGTGGACTAAGTGTCCACGTAATAGACTCAGTATGTGGTACTGCTGCTCAAGGCATTCGAGTATCTTTATATTACAAAGAGAATACGAGGGATGAAAAGTACTCTCTTATGGTAGAAGATGAGACCAATGCGGATGGTCGCGTTGACCAACTTGCCCCTGATGGAACTTTGGCACCTGGTAAGTCTTTTCATCGTCATAGTTATTACAAGTCACCAACTTTTTAGGTACATACAAAATCCGTTTTCATTGTTTAGAATACTTTTCAAAACAGAGCATGACTTGTTTTTATCCATTCTGTGACGTGGTCTTTTCGGTTGGAAGTTATTTTTCCCACTTTCATATCCCTTTGATCCTCAGTCCTTTTGGTTATACTACATACAAAGGCGTATAATAGGAATTCACGTGATTTAGTTTTCAATTCACTATACTTTCAAAAGAACGAAAGGATATTTGTTTCTTTATTCGCTATTGATTCTCCAAACAAGGACGCTTTTTATAAAACACATTTTCTCTCTTTTTATATATCCAAAGATAACCAACCAAACGATCGAAGCAAGTATCCAAGAAAAGATCGTTGGCTTTCTATTCTTCTGTTCTTTTTGGTGGGGGGTGTGGGAGATAGACTTTTGGATGTTGTGTTTCACCATCTTTTGCTCATCGTTTCGTATGAAACGGATCACTTCTCCTTGTTATCATAAACGAACAACTAGAAAGTCTTCCCAATTTCTAGTACACGATCGACGTTGTTACCACAAACCGTTTTTGAATTGCTTTTGTTCGGTTATGAAGAGGAAGAAATCCCATTCTATTTCGAAAAGCAACTTGTTAAAGCACAGTTGGATTTCCTATATAGAACATGAAAAACTAATGCATGGCGTAGTTTTGGATGCTCCGTTATCTCGCCGAAGTGGAACAGACCTTGTCTTGCAAGTCTTGGGTTGTCATTTTCCTAGTTTGTTTGATGATGATGAAGAAGAAGAAGAAAAAGTTGTTGGCATACTCAAGCCCCATATTATTTCTATGGGTAATGTAGTGGACATTTATGAAGGTTCACAACCAGATGGATTGTCCTTTTGTACCGCAACTAGTGTATCCGATTCAAGTCTTCATCATAGTATATGGAAGTCTTTTCGTGTTATTTCTAGTCGAGTGGAATCCATTTTGTTTTCCATTTCATTCCAACACGTGGAAGGCATGTATCAGTCATTTTCGAAGATGGATAATGAACGTAGCTTTCCAAGTTATTTATTTTGTCAATATTTATTTCCAGGAAGACAGTTAGACTTGTGTCATTGGATAGTCACTGGACTTGTATTAAAGAGTTTGAAGCAACATTTTCGAAGAGGTCCACCAGGCCAAGGCTTTATAGTTGAGTCGAGAGCTTCGAGGAGAAGTAAGTCATTGTTTGCTTGGAAACTTTTATGGGATAGTGTTTGGAAAGATAAAGAAGAGTGGTATTCGAAGAGTGCTTATGAAAGAGGACGACTGATTTCGATGAGTCCATTGCTATTTGTAGATGCAGTTCAGTGGATAGGACATTTAGAACAATGTCTATATGAAGGCCATTTGGACAAAGAAGCTCAAGTTGTTTTAAAGAGTTTGAATGTTACGCCAAGTTTACAAAGTTTATGTTGCTTGTTGGAAGAATGTGGTTCTATGATTCCTTCAAGTACTGAGTTGCAACTCTTACCATCTTTTGAAGAAGAATGGATGCATCCCATCATAAGACAAAGAGAGAAGAGAATGGAATCTTCTTGTTCTCACAAGTTGAATCATCATCATTCACTTCATAGTTATTGTTTTGATACTCAAGACTCGATAGCATTGGACGATGCTATTAGTGTGGAAAGAGTGAATGATCATTATGTGATTGTAAGTGTTCATATCATTGATGTTGCTTCTTATATTCCAACGGGTTGTCCATTGGATGAAGAAGCCAGACGTAGAGAAGAAACTTTGTATATGAAAAACAAAACATTTCATATGTTGCCACCCAAATGGTTACGATTATTGTCCTTTTCTACAGGTAAGTTGCAAAAAGTGTAATTGATTACTTTCACACAACGAATATATTATAGAATGGAACAATGATACTTTGGCAGCTCGCTTTCATATAGATATTTCACATACTTGTAAAGTCATCAAAGAAGAACTTGTTCCAATGCAGATTCCTCCTATTCATCGTTGTTATCGGTTTTCACCAACTGGACTCACCATCGTGGATAAGGAAGAAGAAACCATGATGATGGAGAATGATTGGAATATTTTATGGACTTTTATCTGTTTTGATCAACAACAACCACAATCGATACCTCGTCCAATATCCAAAATGAATATAGAATATTTATTAGACTACTATTTGACTAGAGCAAGTGCACTTATTCGAAAACATGTACTATCATCATCGATGATGATTTGTTCTTTTCAACAAGACAAAGAAGTGAACAAATTCCAACGTATGATTAGGAAAAACAAGAAACGTTTGGGTACTCGTCCTTTAAGAAAATATGAAGACTTGATGATACAACGCCTATGCATTGGTGAAGTAAGTAGGTAGGATGAAGAATGTGTTTTGTTCCTTTCTCTCTTTTCTTTTTGTATAGGAAACCACTTGGAAAGATGTTTTGCAATATTATGAAAATAAGAAAGATAGAATGAAACATATTCGACTTGTCAAGATATGTAATCGATTCTTTCAACAATGGGTGTTTCAACGTGGATGTCGTATGAATGAAAAACCTTTCTATGTGATGAGTGATATTTGGGAGTATCATCCAATTATCAAGAGAAAAGATAACCTTGAAAGAAGAAAGAAATATCCTATGGTTACTTTACGTATTTATTTATGGGGTATTTGGTTCACTTGTCATGGGAATAAGGAAATAGCCAATCCCAACATTCTATGGAAAGGAATCGTTCAAGAAATCCATTTGTTCTCTCAACAATGCAAAATCATATGGAAAGAGTCGAGTTGAAACAAGAAATAGATTGGAATGATATACCACTGTTTTGTCCCAGTAACTATTCTTTACCTAAACCTCAAGAACTAGACGAAGAGACGGAAAAGACTTGTTTGGGTGCACTCTCACACTTGGCTTTTGATGAACCGAGTACAACAGAAAAGATACAAGATTGGCAAGAAAAAGGAAAAGCTTTTTATATCAAAAAGTAAGAATATGAATACTTGGAATGTTAGACTCAAAGGAAAACTCTAGAAAGTATAAACAAGCTATCGACTGTTATACAAAAGCTTTACACGAATGGCAAAAGGAAACAGGGTTGGACCCTTGGACAGGTTGTGTGTTGTATAGTAATAGAGCAGCAGCACAACTAGCATTGAAAAACTATGGAAAAGCTTTAGAAGATTGTCAACAATCACTAGCGTTGGGAACTTTTGAAAAGTCCTATTATAGGTAAGAGTGTTGAAGAATGGTGGATGTTATTGCAGTCCATTGAATGAGTGAATATAATAGAGGTTGTATAGCTGCCTTGGCTATTCAAAAGTGGAAACAAGCACAAGTATTGTTACAACAAGCCAAAGAAAATAATGCTTTGGAATATAAGAGAATAGTGGAATTGGAAGAGAAAATAGCAACACAAAGTAGACAACAAGAAGAAGAAAAGAGAAGAGAAGTGCAACTACAACTAGAAAAGAAAACAAATTTACAAAGTCTCATCAACGCTTTGAAAGATAGAAATATACGTTTAGGATTGCCTTTGTTTGTCACTCAAAAGTGGTCATCCTACTTCCAACCACAAATATTATCTAATGATGAGTTAAGTTGGCCAGTACTTTTTGTCTACCCTGTTTATGAGGGCCAAAGTGACTTGTTGGAGAATTGTGTAGAAAATGTAAAACTTTGTGAATTGTTGGCCTTGTTATTCTCCAAAAGGGCGCCTTGGGACTATCGTGGCTTGTATCATCAAGAACATCTAAAAGTTTTCTATTATACTAATTGGACTCCTTGTTTGGAAGAAATGAATAGTGCAGTAGAATATCTGTATTCGAACAAGAATGGAAATATAGAAGCTTCTCCTATAGCAGAGAATGAAATGGGATCAAAGATAGTAGTGTCTCAACAACTAAGTTTGTCTCAAATTATTTCTAGGAAAGATTATGTAGTTCCATTGTATCCCGTCTTCTTTGTCATGCCTTCATAACTACTTTTTCCCAAAGATGATGAAGAAAATCAGATTTTTTTGGGGGACAAAGAAAAAATGACACAGAAAAATGAAAAAGGCGCACTTCTTACGAGGAAGGTACCTCAAGGCTACGTATTGTTGAAAAGCTCAGACGGGTTTGAATTTTATGTTGCAGAAGAATGCGCAAAAGTTTCCAAATTCTTGAAAACAACTCTGGAAAGTAGGTAAAGGATGTAAAGGTGAAAACTTGTGTCAACTTTGTCTAGGTGACTTCTCGGAAGCTAAAACAGGACAAATGATACTCAATGAAATACCTGGACACTTGCTGGAAAAAGTTTGTGAATACTTTTATTATCATATTATGTACGAACAAACGGAAGGAAACTTGCCTCCTTTTGAATTTCCTCCAGAAATGGCAGTGGAGTTACTTATGGTTGCCAACTTTCTCGACACTTGACTGACTGGCAAGAAACTCTTGCCACCTAGTTAAGACCCACTCCATTGTCAGTATAATATGAAGCTTTGTAGTAGAATAATATAACCTGTCGACATGTTTCAAGACTTTTTCCAAGGACAGAGTGGTCAAACTTCGATTTTTCAATAGCCTTCTTCCTTGTACCCAAACATCAGTTACTTGTTCTCGCTTGGCTGAATAAACAATAGAAGACATCGGATTGTATACCTCAGTAGGGTCAACTTGTCTGTTGCATAAAAGATAATTCGCTTACTGGACTTGTTTCGACAAAGCTCTTAAGATCTATTGCAATAACATCGGCTGCCTTTCCACGAGTAAGACTTCCTATTCTATCTTCTAAACCTAGGGCTCGAGCTGCACGACTCGTTGCCATAGATAGCGCTTCTATTCCATTTTTACCCACTTATTGAATATTTAAATGAAAGCAACAATTAAAACCAACCATATGCAGGAACGCTTGTTGAGTCTTTGGTTCGTCCTTTGGATAACAAAGCTGCGGTCTTTATCTCTTGTAGCATATCCAACGAATTATTACTTCCACAACTATCCGTTCCTAATGCCACGTTGATTCCAGCATCCAATAATCTTTCAATAGGACAAAATCCACAACCCTATTCGAGTCTTGTTTGGTTTATTTGTATAACTGATATAGTCTACTTACCAATTTCATATTAGATGTAGGACAATGCACTACATGAAACTGCTTACAAGTAGCAAGCCATTCTAATTCTTCTCTATTCACTTCTACCATATGTGCCGCAATGACATGACAGTTCAACAGACCCAGTTTCTTCAAATTAGATAAAGGTCTTTCAGGACTTTCAGACAAGTGACAAACAGAGGATTGCTAACAACACACAGAAAGAGAATATTCACAACTCGGAATAATGACAACATATATAAGAACGATATCCATACCCGATCCAAATTCATCGATGCATCACATTCTTCATTGGTTTCATGAAGGTGCGTATGAATGGGTAGACCATTAGATAAGCTCCTTTGGATGATCACTTGCTATCATGATACAAAAGCCCAATGGTTGAAACTGTCTAGTAACTTGAAATATTCATGACTTACCCAAGTTTGATCATTCACTGTATAAGGTGCATGCGGTGCATAACAAAAATGCAAAATATCGCAATGTTGAAATTCTTGCCAAACATCTTGTCCTTTGTCTATATATTCCAAAGTGCTGTTGCACTCTTTTTGAAATTCTATCGCAACTATTCCTACCATAGCACGGATGCCAACTTGTGTTGCTACTTCACAAGTATTTCTTGGAATCCAATACATATCATTGAAACAAGTAATACCACTTCTAATCATTTCAGCAACAGCCAAAAAAGTAGCATCTCTCAAATAGATTGGTAAATAGGCATCTTCCATAGGCCAAATAGTTTCTCTTAGCCATTTATTCAAATTTTGTTCTTCTTTCATTCCACGAAAGAAAGCCAACCCTGCATGACTATGAGCATTGATGAATCCTGGCAATAGACAATGATTGTCTAGATATTCTTGTTCTTTTGCTTGATAGCTCTTTTGAGCTATTTCAAAAGGCAAGATATGCTGAATGATTCCATTATGTATGACAAGAGAATGGTCCTTTAAATAGCATTCCATAGAATGATTATTTTTCTTCATACTTGGCAATACGAGAGCACTTTGGTCATCCATTGTTATGATCCATTGCGCATGAATGATAACATCTACAAGTTCTCTAGTATCCAAAGTAACGGGTGATACAAGTGCAGATGGATTGCGAGAAGATGAACCTGGAAATATTCTTGCTATTTATCGAAATACAATGATTCATTTGGCTTACCTACGAAATAATCGACCAAATAACTAACTATTTCTTCCACATGTTTTTGATGTTGTATTACACTTGATTGAAAATCTTGTGTAGAAAGGGTCTGCGAGGCTATTCCATTGGCATAGTTATCCACCGAACATACCATAGCATAAGGTATTCCCAATTCACTCGCTAATACGGCTTCTGTTGCTGCAGTCATACCGACCACGTCTCCGAGTTGGCTGAGAAATAAGGATTCGGTAGCAGTTTCAAAACGAGGTCCTTGTGTTTGAACATATACTCCTCTAGTTGAAATCTTTACTCCTTGTTGTTGTTGCAATACTGAAATGATATTCTCTCTCCAATTTGGATGAATTGCAGGCACTATATGACTTTGATTGTCATCAAATACACTGATGGGAGGAGAGAATAGAGCAACAAAGTCGTTGGGCACGACGATAGTACCAGGAGCAAGGGTAGGCTTCAAACTTCCTACGGAGCAAATAGCAATAATGGATTGAACTTTCTATATACAGATGATGAACACAAGTTGAGTCCAAGTGGCAGAATCAACTTACGCATTGTGACAAGGCAACCAGGTTGGCACGGTGGTTGATGAGGTGAGGTAGACTGTAGGCCCCTTGAAGGGACACATCAGCGTGATGTCTCTGCAAAAAGAAGCAGTTATGTTGTTCATCCACATATAAGATAACTTTTCCAAACTTGGTTTCTATTTGCTTTGGTTGGAAATGAGCAAACAAGTTGCTTTTCAATAATGCCGTTCCTCCGATAACCGCAATGGCCATGATCAACTCTATAGAAAGAACAAATGTGAATGACTTGTATTGACAAATCATTTCGTCTCTTTCTTTCCTATCAAAAGATCATATTCCTTTATTTTCTATTTCATAATGATTTTAGAATACCAACTCTCTTATATCAAGTACCCTATTCTTTCTTCACCAACTATTAGAAAAGAAAGATAGATGAATGATGGACGAGATAACGATTTATCTCTCTCTCTATTGGAAATTCATTGATTCTTTCTATTTTTCTTGAAAAGGGAGAAGATGGCTTTTGCAGGGTCACTCGTTTATTCTAAAAAAACTTGTACTTGGCAAGGAGGGATAGGCTTATGCAAGCACAACTCAACACATTCATGGGTAATAATTATACACATATATGTGGTTCTAGATTGTGCTGACAGTTGTCTAGTGCAAACCTGTTATGAGTCCTCGTCGTTTAACTACTTTTCAATGGAATATGAGAGTTGCACCTACTGCTAATGTATCTGATACTAGTTTGGGTGAAAAATCTTCAGAAACAGTAAATATCGGAATTATTGGTGCAGGAAGAATTGGTCAAGTACATGCCGAGAACTTGGCTTTTCGCATCAAAAAGGGAAGACTGGTTGGAGTAGCTTCAGGAACAAAACAATTGGCGGAAAGATGTAGCTTGGCAACAGGTTGTAAACCTTATTATGATTATCATGTGCTATTGGAGGTAGAGTATTCAGTTTGATTTCCAAGTCCATCGAACATATCCTCATATATGATATGTTGTAGGACCCTTCCGTGGATGCCGTTTGTATATGTTCTGCTTCCAATCAACATACCAAACAAATCATGGAAGCCGCAAGAGCAGGGAAACATATCTTTTGTGAAAAGCCTATCGATACCGATTTGAGGAAAATTGATGAGGCTTTACAAGTAGTGGAAGAATGTGGAGTAAAACTACAAGTAGGTTTTAATAGAAGATTTGATCAGAATTATTCTCGAGTCCGACAAGCTATTGTTCGTGGTGAAGTAAGTTGTGTATAGAAAATTGTGAAGAAGGATTGATTTCATGTTTCAGATTGGAACACCACAAATTTTACACATCGTGAGTAGAGACCCTTCTCCACCTCCTTTGGAATATCTAAAGAGTTCTGGTGGAATTTGGTTGGATTGTTCCATTCATGACTTTGATATGTAAGCATTATATCCATTAGATTGGATGGGCTATAGTATATACTCATTCTGTCTAGGGCAAGATTTTTGATTGGAGATGAAGTAGAACAAGTATATGCAGTTGGAGCCATTCATTGTGTACCTGAAATGAAGGAATTTGGAGATGTGGATACTTCCATCGTTTTATTACAATTCCGCAATGGAGTTGTAGCAACTATTGACAATTCTCGTCAAGCAGTTTATGGTTATGACCAACGTTGTGAAGTATTTGGTTCCCAAGGTTCTGTGCATATCAACAACAATTATCCCAATTCGGCAGTTATTTCAACCAGTCAAAGTATTATGCGAGATTTACCTCTACACTTTTTTATGGAAAGATACACGGAGTCTTTTATTGAGGAACTCGATCAATTTTGCGATTGCATTTTGAATAACAAACCTGTCCCAGTTACTGGTTGGGATGGAAGAGCTCCTGTGGTCATTGCATTGGCTGCAAAGAAAAGTTTTATGGAAGGTCGACCTATTCGTGTGGAACAAGTCGACTATGTTCACTCTGCTACTAGTACTCGATAAAGTTTGTATGATGGTTCTGTCCGTTAGAATTGTGACACTATTTGCACATACAAAGAACAATTGTCACAAGGAACCAACCCATCAAGGGATGAGATGATTTCGTCTTGATTCAAAACCAGTTGCCCACCACAACGACAGTTGGTTTGGTAAACTATATTGGAATGACCCAAGTCCACTTTCTTCCATTCTGTGAGAGGAACTTGCTCTACTATTATTCCTGGAGATGGAGTCTTCTCTACAAGGCGGTCATAAGCTTCCTTTACATTACAAAACTCTTCATTGGCGTTTTCATTGTCTCGTTGTTTGTCTGGATGAACTTTTCTTGCTACTTGTAAAAAAGCTTTTCTTATTTCTGATGGTCTCGCATTGGGTTTTAACTGCAACCTTTCATAAAGTCTACTAGTTGTTTCCATGAAAGTCAGGCGTGGGACGGTAATCACAAGAAAATTCCAAAATAAGAGAATATTTGTCATGTCCGATCAAGTCACGTTGCGACACAGAAAGAACCAATCTCCTCCTTCGAACCTTGTCCATCAGGAAAAAGAAAACTCAGATAAAAGCCATGATGATGAGAAAACTCAATCTAATTGGGAAGAGGACTCATGGAACAATCAACAAGATGGTGTACTGCCTTCCAAAGTAAGAATAGGCATTCTTGCTTGTGGTGAAAGATTTCTCCTTCCTCCTTTACCCGATATGATGGAGGCACTACTTAATCCTACTTTATGGACCCTCTTTGAAGTGTTTAGCAATATATGTACGTTGGGTTTATTGTATTGTTTTCTATTTGCAGCCCAACTGCATTATGCTTTCTATGTTGTCGTATTCTTGTTTTGGAGATTGGCCTATAATGTCTTTCTAGGTGTGATTCTCGACGGTCAAAGCAAAAGAGGACTTTTTATATCATTTTATCGACGGTTACCAGATAACCTTAGAGTGTGGTTACTCAAGCCTTATCGAAGGAAGCTATCTAAATATACTGAGGATTCGTATCCCGACGAATTCTGGTCTTGGTTAGTCTTTCGTGGAATAGCAACTATAATATTGGCTAATGATGGAGTTGCTTTCTTCTTTTTGGCATTGAAGAGTTTTCGATGGCCCAATGCATTCACTTGGCAACTTGTCAGTTGTTATGCTTTAGGATTCTCCCTTTTGATATTTTGTTTTTGGTCCAAAGTCTCAGCTCATCGATGTATTGGAGACTATGCGTGGTTTTGGGGAGACTTTTTTTTTCGAATTCAAGGAGAGTTGGTATTTGATGGAGTATTCGAACTGTTTCCTCACCCTATGTATACTATTGGTTATGCTGCTTATTATGGAAGTTGTCTCATAGCGCAATCCTACAACTTGTTGTTTATTTCATTATTTTCACATGGCAGTCAACTCTTATTTCTTATGTTGGTAGAAGAGCCTCATATTCAGAGATTATATTCCAAACCCAATCATGACAAGTACAATACTGGAATACCTCAAACAGGAGATGATTCTCTCATTCATGCCGATTATGTTCGTTCTGGTAGTGAGTTAACTGGTCTTCTTCACATATTTCTATTAAGAAGCAGTGATTTTGCATTGTTTGTTTTACTCAGTTGGCTTATTCTATTCAGCATATTTTCTACGAGTAGCAAAACTTTTTATATAATGCATGTTATATTTTGGAGATGTTTTCATTGGATAGGATTGGGCTATCTTTTATACAAACAGTCACGTTATGGATGGATTACCAAACAGTTTCAAAGTCGTGGGTATACTATGGAAGAAGCCTTTTTAGAATGGCGTAGATTATACAATTTTTCATTGGTCATGAATCACGCTGTATTTATTTCAGCAGCATTTCGCTTGTGGATTGCTGATTATGGTTTACAAGGCTCCTTTGTTGAGCATTTTTCTACTTTGATGAAGTTTGTTCGATCCAATATGCTTTCGTCTTCCAAATGGGCGACATTCTCCGGTGGTTTGATTTGTATTCTTTTATCCATTTATGGTTCGATGTCTTCTTATATGGCCATTGGTGATTATGGTTGGTATTATGGTGACTTTTTCTTTGAACCTAGAACCGATTCTCCAGTTTATACGGGTATTTATCGATTTATGAACAATCCTGATTGGTAAGTAGTAGAAGAATGGAGAGTATGAAATGAATCCTATGATAATATGTATAGTATATTGGGTCATTTATGGATGTATGGAATGGCTGTGATGGGACGCAATTGGGAAACATTTTGGTTTGCCTTGTTATCACAAGCATTCAATGTATTGTTTTTACATGTAGTAGAGTCACCTCATATTGGTCGTTGTTATTCGAAGAGAAGAGAAGCAGCTGCATTGGAATTACAATTTCGTAAAGGAGCTGCCAAAGTTGTATCCACTCCTCTTGTACAACATTTGACGAGTGCTATTAAGATGCGAGCGAAAAAGGAACGAGAAAAGATTCGAGATAAAGCAAGAAGAAGACGAATGGAATGGAGTCATCAAGCTACGAGAATGAAAATGAAAGTGTTGTATGCTCGTCAAGAAAGTAAAGCAGCGTTGAGGAAAGCTGCTGAAGATGTACGTCGATGGAATCAACAAGGATTGTATACAAAAGTAGTTTGGAGTTTACAACGAATGATGGGAGAAAGTTAATATATATATATATATATTTGTGAAAATGATAGATGAGCCATAGTATTCATCGTTTTATGAAGAAAATACAAAAATAGAGAGAAACTGCATCGTTTTATTATTCATCTACGACTTGGCTTTGCATAAAAATTGCATTTCCGTGATATCTGTGATACCTGCTTCTATCACATCACCATCATATACGGGTCCTACTCCTTCTGGAGTTCCTACAACATGATGACTATTCTTCCCATTCCCATATATTGTATATTTATTTACCCGTCAATAAAAGATCACCAGGATACAACGTAATATATTTGCTCGTATAAGCAATAAGCTCTGCAACAGAAAATATCATATCCTTTGTATATCCACGTTGTCTGTATTCTCCATTGACCTTGCTCAAAATGGTCACTCATCATAAAATATACAACTTTATTTCCTTACTTTGAGCCATATATCCAGTTTTTGGGGATCTGGAATACGTTCTTTAGGTATTTGATTACTCATAGGCAAAAAGGTATCGCATCCCTTTGCCAAGGTCCAAGGTTCACCTTTGGAAGCTGCAGTGGATTGCCAATTCCTAGCTGTCATATCCAAACAACATAGATAGCCTTGCACATAGTCCAAGGCACGTTCTACACTCACATTTTGTGCACTAGTGCCTATAACAACTCCCAACTCTACTTCGTGATGGACTTGGGCTCCTTTAGGTAATAGGATGGGATTACCTTGTTCCAAATAACTGGAACTAGGTTTCAAAAATAGAATAGGTTCTCCACGTGAAGTAGTCATATCACCCATTTCTCGAGCATGTTTCTCATAGTTTTTGCCAACACAAATAGCTTTGGAAGAAATCATTTCACAAAGAGAGAGAAATGATCAATTATTCTCCTATTGGATTGCGTTGTAAAGCAACTGGATATTGTGTTCATGCAAAAGGAAGAGAGTTCAACTGTTTCCAAAAATATTCGTTCAGGTCGTGAATGTCCTTATATGGATACCATCGATAGAACAGTATTGGACTTTGACTATGAAAAAGTAAGTAGCGTCGATGACCCAATGAAGTTCTGACGTCGTTATGAGTTGTGTTGTGTCACACTGGAAAGACACAATGTATATGCTTGTCTCGTATGTGGAAAATATTTTCAAGGAAGGTAAATGGGAAGAAGAAATCAAACGAGTAAATAGATTGCTTATGATATTATCGCGTTGTTGTTGGATAGAGGGCCCAAGACACCAGCTTTTGCACACGCTATCGAATATGACCATCACCTGTTTATTCATTTGGAAACAGAAAAAGTATCTATTAGAACCTTTGAGAGACTCTTTCATTGACTGTTGAAGGTTTATTGTTTGCCTGAAAATTATCAAGTGGTGGACCCAACGTTGGAAGATATAAAAGCTGTGTTGAATCCTCGATTGGATAAGGCTCAGGCAAGTGCTCTGATGTTGTAACGATGATGACTGATAGTAACTTTGACCAGGTGGAAGAATTGGACAAACGAATTGTCAAGTTTCGAACGTTGGAAGGGAAAATTCGTTATCAGGGTGTGTTGGGAATGAGCAACTTGCAAGCTACCGACTATATCAACGTTATTTTACAAGCACTCGTTCGAATCGTAAGTAGAGCTGAATAGATTGCTAAGAAGAAATATCGATTGAAATAGAAACCTTTGCGCGATTTCTTTCTATTGTATCAAATGGATAAACAAGACACCATAGAACATCCTTTGATTGCTTCATTTGGAGAATTTATGCGCAAATTTTGGAACCCGAGACCTTTTCGAAGTCAAATCTCGCCACATGAGTTGGTTCAAGTGGGTGATAGCATCCATACATGTTGAAAAAAAAGAGAATGAAGTGATTGTCAACTTTTAGGAAATTGTGAAAAGAAGCAAGAAACGATTTCCTATTTTACAACAAGCAAGTTGCATTGTCCATGGTTGTATATGCCGCATAAAATAACCCTTACTGAATTTAGGGCAATCCAGTTGAGTTTCTTGCTTGGTTTTTGCATTCATTACAAGATGACTTGATGAGAGCAGGTAATGTATATTTCTTTAATTGCCAGAGTCAATATATATATATAAATAAATATAGGTCAAAAACCGTTGATGAAGAATACATTTGAAGGACAAATGGAAATAGAAACTTTTCAAGCAAATGAAAAGAGTAGTCAACAATGTAAGAAATTTTAATATTCACTATCGATCACACACTATTGACACATATTTTGTTTAGTAATCAAAAAGGATCACAAATTGTCCCAATTTCTATTTCTTAGTTTGGAACTACCTCCCATGCCATTGTTTAAGGATTCTTTGGAACGGAACATGATTCCACAGGTACTTGATAATAAGAATAGTAGTAGATAATAATATATGAATGTACAAGTACTATCTCATTCTCATAGGTTTCATTAGCTTCATTATTGAGTCGTTTTGTACAACAAGAACTTCATCATGATGTTCAAACGGGTCATTCTTATCGATATCGTTTGCGAAGATTACCTTATTGTTTGATTTTAGTGATGAAGAGATTTGTCAAGTAAGTAAAGAAAGGAGAAGAAAGGAACCAAGTGTTCATTTGATAGTTAGAAGTAATTTTGTTTGGGAAAAGAATATTTCGATTGTTCATTTTCCTATTCGAGATTTGGATATGACAGAATATCTATCGATGTCTTGTCCAGGTATATGGATAATAATAATCATAATATCCAAGTTGAATAAGGAAAACAGGAATAGAGAGCAATGGTGTTGTTTATGACTTGACAGCTGTAGTGATTCATGATGGTAAGCCCAAAGGAGGTACATATCGTTGTTATATTCGACACAAGGCATCAGATAGTTGGTTTGAAATACAAGTAAGTGATTAGATTTGAAGAAAAGTTTTCATTATAAGACCGATGAATCCAGGATTTGCAAGTAAAGGAGGCCATTCCACAATTGGTTTCATTATCAGAAGCTTATATTTTGTTTTATGAAAAGAAATAAATATTTTGATACTCCAAAAGAAAAAGATGAAAGGAATAGTGTTGATTCACTTGGATGAAATCAAGGCTATTTTAAATACTTTCATGAGAATAGTGATAAAGACAAGGTTCACCAGGCAAATGAATATTTTGAAACTTCATTTATGAAATGATAAGAAAAAACACCAGTTTTTATAAAAACTCACAATTCCAAAAAGTTTAAAATAGACTTTGGCAACGGACTTCTTGTCGAGTCTTTTGAAGAGCATCTTTTAACAAACAAAGATGATAAGCTATTGCTTCAGTTTCATGTTTCTTCAAATGACCTCGCTCCAAGTATTCTGTACAACCATAATCATAATAGTCACATCGTTCCGATACTCTCTCGCATTCTTTCTCAATATGAAGCTTCCAAGAATGCCATGTCAGAAAGAAACCTTTACAAGCACTACAAACAATGGGAGCTGATGCACATTCATGAGCAATATGAGCAGCAAGCAACGACGATGGAATGTCACAATAACAATAATCACATGAAACAAGTTGATAAGCACACTTTCTATTATGAGAATCGACAAATTGAGATCGCTTCATTGTCAAGTCACATGAGCTGCATTTACCCATCTCATTTGGACAAATTGTTTTGTGATTCTTTTCATAATCCATTAAGGTTCCATGCCAACCACATTCAAGAGGACAACGCAAACGTAATTTTAAAATAAAATTCTCTGCAAGGGGTGAATATTTCCAATTCGTACAAACTGTTTGACATGTTGGACAAGTTGTTTTGTTCCAACTTTCAATGCAACCTTGGCAAAAGACATGGCTACAGTTCTCCGAACAAAAAGGATGATTGCAGATAAAGCAACAAATAGAACAAATAAAATCATCCGTTTCAAAGTACTCGGGCAGCTTTCGAATATCCATTTGGTTTGAAGCATCCATTACGAAATAAGTCATCATTTCATATGGTGGATAAATCATTGCCTGAAAACCTGAGTCAAATAATTCAAGTCTTCGATGTTGCATATATATGATAAACAACAATGTACTTTCATTCCAAACCGTATTCTTGTATCGTAAATAAGTTTGGTCTAAGCTAATAAAAAATTCCATCGAGTTGGTTTGTTGTTGCGTTGACACTTGGTTTTTCAAAGCTAGTTGAGTAGAAGATACATCGATATTACAAGCATGAAAAGAAGTTTTGTTCTTTGCCAATCGCTCTTGATTACGCTTTAAATATGGGTGAATTTTTGCTCGTATATCTTCTGACGGAATTGCATTGCCACTAATATTCAATTTAGTCAATGTATTGTTGACTTTCAATGCTTCACTTAAATATTGCGCTCCTTCTGAATCAATGTTATTACGACGAATATTCAATTTAGTCAATGTATTGTTGACTTTCAATGCTTCACTTAAATATTGCACTCCTTCTGACGCAATGTTATTATAACCAATATCCAATTTAGTCAATGTATTGTTGACTTTCAATGCTTCACTTAAATATTGCGCTCCTTCTGAATCAATGTTATTATAACTAATATCTAATTTAGTCAGTGTATTGTTGACTTTCAATGCTTCACTTAAATATTGCGCTCCTTCTGACTCAATCTTATTACTACGAATATCCAATTTAGTCAATGTATTGTTGACTTTCAATGCTTCACTTAAATATTGCGCTCCTTCTGAATCAACGTTATTATAACCAATATTCAATTTAGTCAATGTCTTGATTCGACTTTCATATGCGTTCACTTTTGCTATTGTACTCCTTCTGACGCATTGTTATTGTTATTGATATCCAATTCAGTCAATGTATTGTTGACTTTCAATGCTTCACTTAAATATTGCGCTCCTTCTGACGCAATGTTATTACTACGAATATTCAATTTAGTCAATGTATTGTTGACTTTCAATGCTTCACTTAAATATTGCGCTCCTTCTGAAGCAATGTTATTATAACGAATATTCAATTTAGTCAATGTATTGTTGACTTTCTCAATAGCTTCAAAGTTAAATATTGCACTCCTTCTGAATCAATGTTATTATTATTGATATCCAATTCAGTCAATGTTTTGTTTGACTTTGAATTCTTCACTNTAAATATTGCACTCCTTCTAACGCAATCTTATTACTACGAATATCCAATTTAGTCAATGTATTGTTGACTTTCAATGCTTCACTTAAATATTGCGCTCCTTCTGACTCAATGTTATTATCACCAATATTCAATTTAGTCAATGTATTGTTGACTTTCAATGCTTCACTTAAATATTGCACTCCTTCTGACGCAATGTTATTATTATTGAATATCCAATTTAGTCAATGTATTGTTGACTTTCAATGCTTCACTTAAATATTGCACTCCTTCTGACGCAATGTTATTACTACGAATATCCAATTCAGTCAATGTATTGTTGACTTTCAATGCTTCACTTAAATATTGCGCTCCTTCTGAACTAATAGATTTCAACGAAAGATTCATCTCAACTTCACTTGTCGTCCAAAAAGGCTCAAAAGCATCAAAGCTAATACGAAATAATTGCAAACTCAGAAAATCAAAACTTGCTTTCAATGATATTTGTTTCGTTTGACAGAATTCTAAAATATAAAAAAAATGAGGTATTCTCCATTGATCACATAAAGAAGCATGAATAGAACCAAGAAAGGCCTTGTGTAGTATTCTCAAAAGTATCAATAGTTGCTCATTGGAAATTTTGTTGCTATTCATCGCAAAAAACTCAACTCGTGAAATCAACTGAAGACAAGTGACTAGTACAGTCCAACTCTTCGATAAGTCAAACATATCCAAGTCTATATAAAGAAATGATGAACCATATCCTTTTTGAAAAAGAATAGATAACAACTCAAGTATAGAAGAACTATCCTTATCATCAACTTGAAGGAAAAGTAGTCTTTTAGCAGATAATGTTGGCACTGTTTTCAAAAAACTCTTCAAAGCTTCACAAAGTTGAGAAAGCTTTGTCTCTGAGCGACATATCACAACATGCTCAAACAACTTTGGATATTCCGTAAAAAATACTTCAAGGTGACCAAGTAGACTTGAACGTGTCCAAGGGAGGTTAAGGTTGACAAACTTGCAATCTTCTAACAACCAACCCCTACAGCTATCATCGAGCTTATCAAGAAGTTGAATAAAACTTGGAACAGTTCTATATTCAAAGTTTGCTGCTTCCAGTAGAGAGTTTCTACCAGTTATACACTTAAAAATAGCTTCTCTTAGAAAGTTGGAAACCTCAAAGTTGAAAACGTTTGTAGAGGACTTGATATTTGAAGTTTCTTCGCAACTCAAAGGTTGCATCTGATTCAACTCCGAGTCAGAAGTTTTGCGTCTTTTTAGACTGAGTACTTTGAATGATAGTTGGACTGGCATTACACTTGTCAGTTTCCATCAAATCGTTTTGTTTCCCAATGGAATTGAGGAAGATTTTCTGGGACGTTCTGTTAGAACGATTTGTGATTTATCGACTAGAATCGTCAAACAAGTGAGTTGGTTATGAATTCACTTCATTTGTATCAACCAAATGCAGCTTATTCATATGATACATTTATTCGGTTGAATAGACTTTGGGTTGTTTTACAACATAAGAAAGCCACAAACAATTTACGAGATTCTTCAAGCTTCAATAAATGCTTTTACATTCTAATTATTCATCACAAATTGTTGTTGCGATTTGAGTTGGTGAAGGGAACAACTTATAGAGAAAGAGAGAGAGATAAAGAAAGAGAGAAAAAGAATGGATACTCGAATAGAGGAGATTGATTATTGGACACGCTTAGAAAACTTGTTGAAACAGTATTTATCAGAGTCTCAAGTTCGAAGGATTTTGAGAACACTGGAACGAAAACATACATCTTTAGTTGACAGTATTTCCATTGACGAAATGGAGGAGCTCTTAAGAAAGAGCCAAGGAGGAGGGCCAGTTGGAAGTGACAAAAGCAGCAGATAGCTTCTAAACTTACAATTCTTGGAGCCTTTTGAACGACCGTGGAAGATGAGAGAGTGGGGGTTGTTCTCACCACTTTTCCTTTATTGTGGTTAGTTAGGACCTTATGATTGGCCAGTTAGTTTATTTTTGATAGGGAAAGAAAGAAATATTCCAAGTTGCCCTTATATAAACACTGGACTCGTTTCTCCTCAAAGTCATATTCACTAGATTCCTGAACAATCTTTACTCTTTTGCGCAAGCTTCTCCTACAATAGGTTGCTTCCATCTCGTTCGCTTCATTCTTGTAAAAACTTCTCTTTCATTCACCTATAGTCTAATTGCTAGTGGCAGTTGTTCAACAAATGACTAGAATTTACAAATATTTTCAAAAGTGTGTTGATCGATCAAAGAATTTGTATCGGGGTGGACGAGCAATATGCGAAGGAAGCGAGATCCTTCACAAAAGTTATTAAAGACGAGTTGGAAAAGGAATAAAGGTTTACGTTCTCAGAGACAACTGTTGAAGAAATGGGAACAAGACGACTTAAAAACTTGTTCAGATTCCCAAGCTATGCAACACTTAATGTCACCATATGATGAAGAGTCTTTGGAAGCTCCCTTGGAAAAGTTGCAGAAATTGTTATCCACAAACCCCAACTATTCATCAGTTTCTCAGTCATTGAATGATAGTGAAGAGAAGAGAAAATCCGTTTTGGCGCCTAAAGTGCAACTGGAAGAAATTGAGTGTTCCAGAGAGTCAACAAATATGGCATCTGCCATGGAAAGAGAAAGACAACACTTTCAAAAACATTTACCGGATACAGACTTAGATAGTGCTTCACTCTATACTAGACAAAGACAGAAACTAGATTCTTTCGATGCCGTAGATTGGTACATTTCTAAATATAGTGATAGAAGTATCGTCAACAGTTTTCAACAAGGCGAACGCCTTTCTTTATCAAGTTTAGGATGGAAACAGAAGATGATTCAACGAGTTGTATCTTTACGTGAACCAATCCATGGAAACCCTAAAGTCTGTACTCGAATGGAAGAACGATGGACAGGTTTAGTTTGTTCCCACTGGATGGATGGTATATTAGAATTACCTGATTATTGTTTACAATCCAAGTTAGTCAGACCAATCTATTTAGCACATGCTATCACGTATATATTACGATGTCGTCAACGAATAATACGCAACAACAAAATACAACAAACCATTGAACCATCTTCTCTATTATCATCAGAGAGACTTAAAGACCAAGGCTTTACTAGACCTCGAGTATTGATACTACTTCCTATGAGAAATGTTGCTTATGATGTAGTTTCTATGTTGTTAGAGTTGTTGAAAGATAGATTTATCAGGAACTATGAACGCTTTCAAAGAGAATTTTATGAAGAGAGTCTAAAAGAAGATATTTCGAAACCTTTGGATTACATTCAAGTGTTTCAAGGAAATACCGATGATGACTTTAGTATGGGTATTAGGATGGGAGCTTCTATAAAGTTGTTTAGTGATTATTATCATAGTGATATGATTGTAGCTTCACCTTTGGGTTTAAAAAGACTCATGGAAAGGGAAGATTTGGAAAAGTCTCCTAAGCATTCTGGTGCTGACTTGTTATCCAATATTGAAATATGTATTGTAGAACGTGCAGATGTGATGGAGATGCAAGTAAGTTGACTCGATAAATATCGTAATGAACAACTGAATAGATTTAGAATTGGGAACACTTACGTTGTGTCTTTGAGCGAATGAATCATTTGCCTAAAGGATTGCATGGAACGGATATCTCTCGTGTTACTCAACGAGCATTGGAAGCAAAGACAAAATACTATCGACAAACTATTTTTATAAGCAACTATATTTTTCATCATTTATTATCGCTATTTAGAACTCATTGTCATAATATAGAAGGAAAAGCAAGATATATTCCTCATCATTTAGGCATTGTATCTAACAAGGATTGGAAAGAGAGAATCAGCATTCGTATTCGTCAAACATTTGAGAAACTTCCTCCAAGTAACAGTTTAAAGGATTCCGTCGTATGTAGACGTGAGGTAAGTTGCAAGTTGTCATGCCGGGATAACCTTTATATAGTTGATGAATGTTATAGTTTTTTATAGAGAAAGTATTATCTCGTTATTCAATCCATAGAAACCAAACATTGATATTTATTCCAAGTTATTTTGACTATATACAGATAAGGAATATATTCTATCAAAAACAAAAATCAGGCGAATTGTCATTTGAGACTTTATGTGAATATTCCAGTCAAAAACATATTGCTCAAGTGAAGAAAGATAACAGGTACGTTGTAAAGTCTTCATATAGTGAAAATATTCAAAGAGTATCGAATAGCAAACAATTTTATTTGATGACAGAAAGATTCTATTTCTATTATAGAGAAACTTTATCCGGTATTTCCAACTTGATATTTTATCAATTGCCTGGTAAGTCTTGTGGTATTTTGAAGTTTCAACTCAATTCTTGTTTAGAACATGGACTATTTTATGAAGAATTGGTTCGCAGTTTAGAAAATGCACCATTCATACCCACCGTACTCATCCTTTATGACCATTTGGATGCTTTGTCTATGGAAAGAATTGTGGGTACGAATGAAGCCAATAAGATATTGAACAAGTCTCTTTATATTTTGGGATAAGAAAATCAACAAATAAGAGTGACTTGTCATCATCAGCTTTAGGTTTCCATAATATATACATTATGGAATAAGAAAGGAACAGAAACAATCTTATTGGAATTCTTATTCTGCAGAGATAACAGGCAACTGATTTCCGGCAATCATTTCTCTCCAAACGCCTTGCTTTTCTATGACTACTAAACGAATGACACCTCCTGAGCTTCCATCTCTTGCCATAGCCAATGCTACTGCTTTTTTTGTAAAATCGATACACTGCTCTCTACTCATTCCTTTTTGGAAGTGTGCATCACAAAAGCCATAAATATAAGTACTACCACTTCCACCAATAGAATAAGGTTGTCGAATCATAGTACCTCCTAAGGGAATGGTGTAAACCTTGAAAATAGGAAGTCAATACTTATGAAAAAAGGCCCTTCTCTCTTCTTACTTGACCACCGTAAAGGGGATCCCAACCAGCACAGATTATACCAGCAAGTAATCTATCCTTGTTGGAATAACAAAGCTCGCGACAAATGGAGGCCGCTGTTTTCACACAAGGCAAGTCATCCAGGTCTAACTGGTGAATGGACAAATAGTAACGGACATAATCGGCAATCGCTTGTGTATCCGCTGCTGAACCAGAACGACAACAATATATTCTTTCTGAAAGTGGGGTTATTTTGTCACTCACACGATTGGCAATATAGGCTCCAGTCGTAGTTCTCGAATCTGCACCCAACACTACTCCACCATCAAACTCTACCGCCATAATAGTGGTCTAGCATAAAGGAGTGAGAAGTTTCTTGTTAACACTCTAACAAAACTTACACCAAGCATGTGTTGCTCAGTTGTAAAAGGTAAACAGTCGTTGGGTATAGAAACACCAGCATATTGCTCTTCCTTCCACATTCTCTCTCTCTCTTTTCACAATTCTTCTTTTCCAATTGGGTTTAGAAAAAAATGCTATTTCTTTGAAATGGCGCCAAACTTTATGGATTCGTATAAAAGTCTTTCTTCCTTTTGCATCGTTGATTGGTTTGCGCTTTGAGAAATGGTTGGTTTAGAGGAATTTTATGACCCCAGTTGTAAAGAAGAATATCAGAATATATTATCCATTCAACAACAAGAGGAAGTATTGGAGAATGAAACTCACTTTGATTTAAAGACAAAAAGACCTTCCAAGAGAAGGAAACGAAAATCTAGTTCGAGACCAGCAGATACTCGACAAGGCGCTAGTAGACGCAGAGCAGCAGCTTCTAGAAGAAGGAGGAACTACTGACTCTATCTTCTTATCATCACAAATCAACTATTCCCATACTTTATTTTTGGAAAGGGGAGTCATAAGAGAAGACATGATAAAAAGCACGCAAAAACCAACGTGAAGAGAAATAGATAGTAATGGACAATGCAATAGTAATACCTCCCGCGATTCCATAAAAATAATATTGACTGGAGTTGCCCATATTATAAATGGGCAGTTGTACATAATACCCAAAGAATTGGGAAAACTGGAGATACTTAAAGTTATTGCAAGAAAAAGTGAATCTACTTACCATTCCATAGATCGCAAAGCAAACACTGAGAATGGTAGCTAAAAGGTCCAATGACCACATTCTGGCATCAAAGGCTGCATTACCTATTGAATACAAGTCTACCAAACTATCCAGTTTGTCTTTCCAACGAGCCAATTGGTTTTCCACTAGACAAGTTTTCTATTCAAAAGAGATTCATATCATTATATATATATATATATATATATTATATAACTTACCTGTAATGCTGCTTCCAAAGTATACCCCACAATATCTTGCTTCTCATTCAACAACTTTTCCCATTCTTTATCATCTTGTACGACCATAAAGTTACTGAAGTGAGTTGCATTGGCTGAAAGGAGTGTAGTAAATATGGAAGTGAGCAGCTTTACACGTTGCAACATAGTCTCTACTCGTTCTCTTATACCAAGAGCCCATTTCCACGTATCCAAAGAAGACAAGTTCTCCAACGCGTTCCATTGTTGTGTGAATTGCTCCTTTTCTCTTTCCCACGCTGTCCACTCACAATATGAACTACACAACAGTGCTCCCAGAATAGCTTCCAATCGGAAATCACACAATTCCTCTTCCAACCAAACCAAATGACCTGCTAATAACCGACACAATTCGATGCATTCCACACTAGTGATGTTCCCAAGAATAGCTCTTTCACTGTTTACTATCAGTTGAATGTTCAAGAAACAACAAAATACATCTAAGGTCCAATGAAAAAATATCAACTACAGCCATTCCTTGCCTCTTACCTCCTGGTTGCTGTACTGCTTTACTGAGAATATCATTTTGTTCCAACCTCTTTACTTTTCTGTCCTTATTTATTTGGATCAAATCATCAGGAACTACTTTCAACCGATCATACATCCTTGTTTTCCACCAACAACAATTGTCAAGGATTGTCCTGTTGTTTTGTGTGATTGATTAGGGAATCTTGGGTATCTTATGACTGCTGGAGACTTGTATCCTCTTCTCGAATATTCCATCACACAAGTGAGTTCTAATGGGCAGATTCATAGTTATTTTACTACTAGAGAAGCTTTGATTGAACCTTATTTGAAAAACTTGAAACAGAGATCCAGTTGGGAAGTTCTTCAAATGAAACAAAGCTTTATACGCTTCTTAGCTTCACAAGAACCTTGTTGTGTATGGGAAGAAGAGAATGAGAGCGTATACATTTGTAGTGCGGGATACAAAGCTATTATTCTGTCGGATAAGATGCTGTTGATCGATAGTCCTAGACCCGTGAACCGGATTCTTCTGGAAGAAGAAGTGCAACGATGCCCATGGTTCCAAACTTCTTCGTGGTTAGGCACTATTGGCTTTTATATCCTGTTTCTGATGATATGTTTACCTGAATATCGAAGACAAATATCTTCTTGTGCACATATAGTTGACGCAATGCATAGTCCTTGTAAGAGTGTGTATGTGAAAGCTGTCAACCATTGTCCTTTATTGAAACTTGTCCAAAAAGAATTGGATATGCATTGTATTCAACTATCTTTACAAACCAAACACAATAATACGAGTTGGCAGATAATAATGGATGGAAAACAACAACATTGTTCGTTATTCAAGGTAAGACCAATCGCAAGACAGAAAAGAGAATGAATTGCCTATGTTGTATAGCAACTGGATGAATTAAGAAAGCGTGTTCGTTGCTATCAAAATGGGTTGGAATCACAAAACCTGGTTCATCATCATCGGATACTTTGTGAGAAAACAAAACTCATCGTGTTTAGTTTCTTTTTCAACATTTTGTTGTGTGCCATATTGATCGGTTCAACGGTAAGTAGTCACTTGAGAAGAGACACATTTATTTTATGTGGACTGTGTGACGACTAGTCGGCCAATAGTTTTGGTACCAATTTGAATATTCCGTTGTATCGAGATAGTGCGAGTGGAATGAAAGCTTGTTTGTGGTATATTGTGTCCTTTTCTTCTATAATTCTTGCTAGTTGTGGTATTTTTTGGTTTCTTCGACTCAACAATATGGTCACAAAATATATCATTGCAACAAGGAACAATTATCAATGGGAAGAAAAAGTTCAGGGGAGGAAGGAACCATGTGCGTCAACTTGAACAAATTTATACATAAAGAGACAAAACAGAAGAGACTGTTTCTTCAACGATTGATATAATGAACATATTGAATACCAATCAACGCTAAGAGACGAAAGCCAATTACATAAGCGGCTAAAGCACCAATATCAATCCACAACATATGATAACTCAAACCATATTCACTCATAATATCATCCCCACTTGTTATTTGACAAAATAGACAACAAGTATCAAATGTTGTTCCATTTCTTGCAGTACACGTTGTTCCTGAAGGTGCAGGTGAGTAACCTAGTGAACTACAACTAACACCAGGTGGTTTGGGAAATGCAGAATATTCAGAAGCTGTACAATAGTATTTCTACAAGTGTGTGTTATACTCTATTTTGAATATATGCATACTCTAGACTTACCTTATCATGTAAAATATCAACTGCCAAAGCTTCCAGTGCATAAGAATAAGGATTGGCCCAATATAACCATATCATATAATTAGGAATAGATGGCTTGGGAATAATAAAGCCCGCCAATACAAACATCAATGAATTGATAACAGGAGCCACCATTTGAGATACTTGTTGATTAGGCGCTAATATAGCGATACACTGACCAATACTGATGGCCGTCAACATAAAGAACACAAAAGCCAAATAAAATTGGCCAAATCGATTTCCCGGAAAACCAACCAAGAAATAAAAGAATACAGTAAATATTGTTCCTGAAAATACAGCATACGGTATTTCATCCATTGTAATAGCAACCCAATATACCCAAGGACGATAAGTTCCCGAAGAAATTTCTCTATAAAAGACATCTCTTTCATCTTCTATAGGATGAATGGCAGAAGTGAGTTGAAGAATGCCATACAAAGCACCCATAAAAATAGCTGCAACTCCTACTTCCGCTCCTTTTTGATCAGCTGGTTCTTTATAGAAAGCTGAGCCAATAACTAATGACATGAATATAGCCATCATTATACGAACAAAGTTGTAAGAAGGCATTCTCCAATATACAATAAAGGCTCTCTTGATTACTTGATACAACTGGTCTTTGGAAGTAGATGCCATATAGCGTTCAAACTCTATAGGCTCAGCATCCGATGGAACAATGGGTTGAATATGACTCCAATCCAATTGTTCATGATCCTTCTCGTTATCGTCCTGTCTCTTCTCTTCTTCTTCTTCCTCAGGCTGCAATTCTAACTGAGCCAATAATTTTCGATTCTCATATGAACTTCTCCATACTGAAGACCAATCTTTGGGTCCTCCTCGTCCAATACCTGCACCGATAGTTTCTAACACCCAATCAGCAGGATTCTCTTCAGACTTGGGAGGAGAAGCTCCTTTTCTTGTAAAGTAGTCGATCATAGTCTGGGAATGATGGCCCAATGGACCAAAGTATGCCGTATAACCGCCCTTTTGTAATAACAGCAAGTCATCAAACATTTCAAATATTTCAGTCGAAGGTTGATGAATAGTACAAATGACTGTACGCCCAGTATCAACCACTCTACGAACTGTCTTCATCACTACAAGAGCTGCACGAGCATCCAAACCTGAAGTTGGCTCATCCAAAAACAAAACCGAACTACGACTAACCAACTCCACCCCAATTGTCAACCTCTTCCTTGCTTCAGCTGAAATACCTCCAGCATCTGTGGAAGTTGCTGAACCAACCAGACGATGTTCCACTTCTCTCAATTGAAGAATATCCAAAACTCTATCTACTGCTAACAACTTTTCTTCTCTCGTTACTTCATGTGGTTGCCTCAACATGGCAGAAAATTCTAAAGCTTCTCTTACAGTAGCGTATTCGTTGTGTATATCAAATTGTTCCACATAACCTGCAATTCTTCGATAGAATCGATCGATAGGCTTCTTATTCAGTAAAATTTGTCCCAAAGTGCGACCTTGTGTCTTTCTTTGAGCCAATACATCCAATAAAGTAGTCTTTCCTGCTCCAGATGCTCCAACCAACGCAATCATTCTACCTGGAACTGCGTATCCATTGACATCATGTAGAAGTTGCAATTCGTTGGTATCTTGACCAGTCTTTTCTTTAGCATACTTCCTTGAAACCTTCACAAAATAGCTCAAGTTGGTCCAAGTCATATAAACTGGACGAAAACCAATATCATGAGCTGCAAAACTTCTCATAGCTACTGAACTATCCGCTCTATTACTTTCAGTAGATTGTCTATCTACCACTCTTGCATCTTGTTGTTCTTCTTCTGTACCAACTTCATTGTTCAATACAGACATATCAACAGCATCTTGTTCTATTCTTGGGTTGACTACAACTTGTTCATCATTGCCTTGAGGAGATGTGGAGACGCTTTGGGAGTCTAAACGTGGTAATGATATTTGACTAACTCTTAAAGAATGTTCAAGACGTTCTTCTTCCAATGGTGAGGAGCCTTCTGGTCTAATAAAAGCTTTGGTAGAGAATCGGATAAACATTAAAGCCAAAGCGGAAAGAGATAAGAAAAACAAATAAAATCCAACGACAATAACAATGTCCAACCATTTCCAATAAACTGCAGTAAAAATACCATAACGCTCCTTTAAATAAGCAACTCCAGTACTTACAGGACATGTTTCATAGGATTCAAAAGGGGTAGGAAGTTTAGGAACAAATTCGCTACTCAAACAATAGAGCTTGAGTCCCACATATTGATTGATCATGACGGAATCAAGAATATAATTAAAAGCACTCAACCAATAAAGCCAAATCCACCAACCAGGAATATCATTTCGAGGAATAATAAAGCCTGCAAATACAACATTTAATATAATAATAGCTGGAGCAACTGCAGTAGCTTCATGAAAAGATCTCGTTCCAACTCCAATCATACGAATCATAGTACTCATAGCCATATCGATTATCCACATTGCAAATAAAAAGAAGCCAAACTTTCTTCCACCATCGGCAGAATTCAAACCTGCCATGAAATACAAAATAGCCGAGTATATCAAAGACTCTAAAAAGGTAAGTGGAAAGTCTACTACAGTTTGTGCAAGTATATAAGGAGGTGGGTCAAAGAAATTGGCATCCTTTTGTTTGTAGAATACTTGTCGAGTCTCATATATACCGGGCAAAGTACTCATAGAACCCAAACCAATCGTAATAATAGAAATAAACAGAATACCCGGAAATACACCGGCACCTGCTTCATCCGTACTTGTCTGCCAAAATAAAGCTCCCATAATCAGACTCATAATCACATAACGAATGAAACGTGTTAACAAGGCAGGCTTATTCTTAATTTCCATTAGAAATTGTCG